GCTGATCAACCTTCCAAATGTCTTATTTCAGCCTGTCTCCAAGACATCTCGTTTTTCTCTTCTCTAAAAGTCGAGGAAACCTCTCATTCCAGGACCTCAACTCCTTTCTTACATTCCTCCCGTGTCACGTGAGCACGTAAATATAGCCGTTGGATTGAACGAAGGTCGAATTGTCATCGCGAAGGTCGGTCTTCACAGGCATTAAAGTCGTTCGCGTCTTGACGCTTCTTGCTTGAGTAAAGTGCAAGTTTGCTTTCACTTTAGAAGCTATGCGATGACGCATGATCCTCGAATCCAAAGATAGGAGTATAGGAATAGTGTTCTTTCATTCTTGAACCAGTTTAATTACCAAAAAGATATTCACAAATCACCTAAGAATCTCCTAAGAATAAAATCGAGCGAATTGATCGATTTTTTTTTTGCAGAGAAACATCTTCAAGAGGAAAATATAAGATGATAATCAAGATAATAAATTTCGAATTAATTTTTCAAAAGAATCATAATCAAAGCTGAATTACTTCAAATACTTCAAAACGAGGAAAAAATTATTCTGTAAATTATTACTTATTAAGATATTATAAAGATCTTATTATATAAATAATCGCAAATTTTGAAGCCATAGATACGTCACAACTGAACACTGGTTTCCAGAATATAATTTGTGTAGTCGGGACCAAAGCGATGGCTAAGTCTGCCGCTTGTTGGAGTCTAATTTTCCGTTGAATAAAGTAAGGTGCGATTTTTTTCATGGCTCTCAAATTGCCCTGCATTCGATTTGTCGAAGAACGGACAGAAGGATTATTACGACCTCTCGGTCGATTTTGCAATCGAATTGCTACACGCGCTCGCTCCTTCTTTGCGACGGTGCAACGACTTAAAGCTTATTGCGAGTGCAATAAGCCAGGGAGGGACGGGGGGGGTGGCACAAGGTGGAACCCCTCTTTCCTTCCAATATCAGGAGGAAGCCGACGATCGTTCCCAGGTATTCGATATGCGCGTAGATCATGCCCTCAAATGATCTCTTCTATGCAGCTCGCCTCGCTCGCGCCTTGAGATACATTCAATCGCGCGTAGATCCTGAGAAGTTGCACCGTTTTGCTGCAACATTAATCTACTATCGCTGCGAGGAATGCGGTAAGAGGTTCTCTTACCAACACCTTCTAGATTACGATGATATATCCTTTCCAGAATTATTACGTCGCAGAAAGTGAGCGAATTAATCGCGCAGTGCATGATCCATTTTCTGTTCGATATTGTATGTTTGAATGGGTTTTTAAATGTAAAAGATAAGGCAGTTTTCGTGTGCACGAAAAGAGAAGAAACATAGAAGATATATCTTCTTTTGTTTATTTTTTGAAAAAGAATATATATTTTTTCGATATGAGATATATGGAGCACTATGTACACACATTTTTAAAAAATTTACTACATATATATATATATATATATATATATATCAATACATATTTTTTTAAATAGTACTAAATAAACATTTACTTATACTAAATACAATAGATAATTGCAATAAAAAAGGTAACAGATCAAATTAATGATTCTTTTACCAAACAAATATGTGTTTACATTTAATAAATATTAAGAGATATTCTATTCAAATAAATATTTAATAAATATACAATAATAAATTTATTAAATTAATCATAACGTAACATAATAATTTTATCTAATCTTGATTAGATAAAAAATTGTACGATGAAAAATTTAAGTTTAAACGTCATAATAAATTAATTGTTATTAGTTAGTATGTTATAATAATCATATAACAAAAAGATTTTTTCAATGTTTTATGCGAAATCCGTTGCAGTAAAGGATAATGCGGTAGCGATTAATGAAGTGATATCTTTGAACACTGCGAAAAAGCGAAAACATCTCATATCAAGTATATTTTTCATTGAAGTTTATCCTTTCCGTGAATATCTACTCTCCGCCGGCCAAGTCGGCCTTTGAAAGCACAATTGTAAATAAATTCAAATCTGTTAAAAAAAAAAGTAAAATACAATCCAACTTCTATAAATTAAAAACTCGTTGTTAGAGCTTTTGCAAGTATGCAAAAATTTTTTCAGATTTTTATACAGTCCGGAACAATATAAAAAAATCTGCACTAAAGCTTAAAGACTAGGGTTGTTGACGAAAGGAACAAAATTTCATATGACCAATTAAGAGTTAAAAATTTATTTAAAAATAGAGAACATGCATAACGATTTTACAAGTAAAGTTATCGTCCGTTGTACAAAATAGCAAAATATAGCTATAATACTTTATGCACACGTTGAAACACGTTAAAATAAGATTATGCAAATAAAATTGATTTTACTTTCGCTATTTAAAATTAAACGGAGATAATTAATTAAAATTATGGTAACGCTACTTTTATACTTAATATTTGATATTTTTACTTGCAGTGATCATGTAATAATCGCAAATATGATCAAGAACTGTTAAAAATCAAAATAAATCAGAGAAATTTATTTTGAATAAAGATGAATGATAGATGAATGTATTAATATTATGTAACGCTGCCTTTCACTTTTCATCTTTACTCTCAAAAATTCATATTTTTATTCCATTCTTAGATTATTCCATTCTTGAATTATTCCATGTCTCGCGCAGCAAAAGTTAAAAATCGAAATAAAATGTATATAGATAATAGATGAACCGATTAACGAAGATAAAAATATATTAATATTACGCGTATCGTTGTCTTTCACTTTCCATCTTTATACTCTCTAAAAACTATATCTTATTCAATTCCTGGATATGTTCCGCTCAGTATCATTTTTTAAAAAACCTGAGACTTGAAACTTCTAAACCTACTTCTTTAAAAATAATATTCTTTTCTTTTTTTTAGGTCTAGCTCGTCAGTTATACCAATTAAAATAAGATTACAATTCGCAAAAAATATTTTCCATGGCTATAAATAAAAATCTCTACAAATCGAAATAAAAAAATAGTAGATTTATTTTTAAAAAAGATGGATAAGAGATGAAAATAATTAACGAAAATATAAATATACTTATGTAATAGTATCTTTCACTTTTCACCTTTACTCTCAAAGAACTGTTTTTATATCATTTCTGAATATATATCATTTTAAAAAAATTCGAAGCTCTTAAACTCTTAAACTTATTTTCTTGAAAACATTATGACTTTCGGATCTCTTCAGTTATACCGATTAGAATAAGAGAAGGGATTAGATTAGGAGAATTACGCGCTCATAGAAGATTCCTTTCTCTCCTCGTCTCCTTTCCGTTCTTTCTCACTTTCGTGCTCATTAACACCGCGGACTCGCTGAAAGCGTGACTAGTGAGATGCAAAGAGTTAAAAAAAAAAAAGAGAAAAAAGGAGCGAGTGCCTACACCTACAGACGTGCCCATAGATTTGTGCTTCTCGTTTAGTTCTCAAGGTTTCTTTTCCGCCGTTCGTATTTGTAATCGCGTTTTGATACCGCGGGGCGAATATGCAAGTCAAATGTTTCCCTCGCCTGCGCATTACTCAACGCGAATATAGATCTTTCCTTCTGGAATTCGATCTCAGCCTCCGACGCGCAACTCTTACCTCGCCTCATCGAGTCGCGCCAAAACGGATTGTGTGATACGCGAAATCATGTAGAGATATACGCACAAACCACGACCACAACCGCAATCGAACACGATTTCTCATTAATGTTGATGCAATTTCAATCGTTACTCGCCCGGTTGGAAATTAGTCTACGCATCGCGTTCCAGTAACATACTCCTATAGTGAGAAGAATTGCAAATCGTACGGATAACGATCGAGGTATAATTACGCGGATTCAAGCGAAATGCAAGTCTCTCGCTCACGGAGACCTGATGATTTCCAAATAAACATTATTCTTTTGCGAAATCTTGAACAATCTTGAAATAGCTGGGCGCAGGCATCACCGTCCATGTTTGATTCGGAGATAACATACATTTCGCGCAGGAAAGTCTGTACTTCCCGCCTAGGCATAGTCCTTGTATTACTTTTCCGAGAGTGCATCCGTCATTAAAGTCGCGTTCAAAGATTCTATACATTCTAGCGGATGCTAGAAATTACTGGTATATATCAACATATCATTCGTGAAATACCATAAATTGAAATCTAAAAAGTCAACGTATTAAAATTAATTCCTTCTTGGATCAAACTAAAAATACCCGACTCATTTAAATCAGTTTATATCAACATTTTCATGACGAAATTACGGATCAAGAAATAATTTTTTTTTATTCTTAAACATCTTTCCTATAATTGTTTTTTCTACAACTATTTGGGAAAATAAAAAAAGGTTTTATGATCGCAACATAGATACAAAAGAGAGGATTGTGTGTTTCTCCTTGACGATTGCGAGAACTATCGAAAGCCATATATCATTGCTTTTGCCAAATATTAATATTAATAAAAATATTAATCATTAGAAATCAATTGAAGATAACACTTTGTCACTATAAAAGTAAAGTTTCGTTTCTTTGCCCAAATCTAATTCTTGTTCTAATTATAAATCAAACACTCAATTCTAGTTCGATTAGAAAGTTATTCAAAGAGAGATGATTATTACTCTCAGAACAAGTTTCTTCTAGATACATTATAGATTAATGAAAATAAATTGTTTTCTATTAAGAATAAAATTAATTTACTTCTCGTATAATCTTAATATATTCAGCGCCTAACATGACATTTCGATTTGGTATTTAAACAGGTTTTAGAGAAATTGCTTTCAGAATAAATTTTCTATAGACATGGAATTAATAAAGTGATTTCTAATCTATAATAATGCAAAATTGCTTCTTTATATAATCTCCATCATATATATAAAATTGCTTTTTTTTATAATTCAACAGTCAATCTTATTCTAATCGAGTATCTAGTATGACATCTTGTTGTTTTCAAGAGATTAAACACTTTTAATGATTATTAATTTGTAAAATTAATTTAAAATAATAAAACAAAGACTCGACTTATCAATTTAAAGGTGAAATTCTTACCCAGTCCATGTTTATCGTTTGGTCTAGTCTCCCAATGACTTAGTCAAGATTTTCAGTCAGGAGATCCTCAGCTTGTACACATCGCGCATCAGATTCATCCGCTTAAGATGCACGGAGCCACAGCGGCAAAATGCGATTGTTGCTGCACTCGCGACCTTGTATCTGTACGACACTGAAGGACGACGCGGCGCTATTGATACCTGCGGGACGAGGCACGAACACCGTTCTCCAGGACAATAAGTATACGACTAGCTCAGTCTATCTGGCGATCATGCCACAAGCCAACGAAGGTGGACGGAAGGCGCACTGTTACTTTCATGGGTCGTCTCTCATACTGCCAGCACCTTCGTGGGACACGCCACCGATATTGGACCCCACCAACCGGAACCGCGTTTCCAGTCCTTCGCGAAGCCGAGTCCAAGATCTCTAGCGCGGTATAGTAGTGGAGGTGAAGGGAAGACATTTCCTTGCCGGCTGTCTTCGTTGGTGCCGGTTCGCTTCTGCTCGCTGGGCATGTAACGCTTTAGGTGTGAACATTATTGTCGAACGAGGAACTTTGAACATATAATTATTTAACACAAATAAACACCAATACAATTATTTCTCATTTATTTTTTTAATCTGTTCGTGTGATAATTTTTTTTTAACAAAACAAACAATATATATATATATATAAAATAAAAAATAGATAATAATAAAAAAATTAACTCTTTTGAAATAATGTTGATCCAACAAATAAATAATTCATGAAATGTTCAAAATTTGTGATACTTCAACAAATTAAATTCATTCGTTCAACAATACTAATGAAAGTTATTTACAATGTTAATTGTTATATTTATGCGCTATGAGAAAATTCATACATAGTCATAATAATTGAAATTTGGATATTTTATAAAAAAATGTATATTATATATAATGACAATGAAATATACGGTCACATTACACATATCGTACATATCACAAATGTAACATATTAATATACATATGTACATATATAAAATGGCCCAATAAAAATGTAATAATAAATGTTTATTAAATTATTATTTAATTACTGTAATCTATTTTAGATACATTAATTTTGATACATTAATCTAAAATCTGACGCTTTGTTCTCTTAGCAATTTTTGATAAAAGAAAAAAACTAGCTACGATCTCTATCCTCTTCTCTATCCTCTTCATATAGCTTATTTTTATTTCCAAGAATACAGTTAAAAAAAGAAAATTTAAAGCTATTGCAAAATTTGAGCAAAATTACAAAAGGCGTTGTCAAATATTGAAAAGCAAATAAAAAGACTGTTGAGAAAAATGCTTAGAAAACTAAGTTTTGTACATATATCATATTATGTGTATACTTCACCGTAATATATTTAAATACTAAATTACTTAATAAATATTATTATTTACATGTAATTATTAATCGATAAAAAAAGAATATATTGCTTTATAGATATTTTATAAAACTATTTAAAGTATGAGCCATGGCACATAAAAAATTTAAGTAGTAAGTAAATTGGCCATAATAAATATTAGCAAATCCAATATATGTTGATTTTCTTACTGCTTATGTTTTACTATTTAAGCTTTTTTGTATGCCATGCCTTCAGGCAGTCAGATAACCAAATATATCTTATTATATCGATCATTGAAAAACCAGAATCATTCCTTGGAAAAATAAAAAAAAAGGTTACATTTAAACATGATGCAAAGATTAATAAAAAGTCACATAATAAAAATTCTTTCGACTTCCAATTAACAAACTCGAGTATCTGACTAAAATAAAAAGAAATAAAAATCGATATAAACGTGTAAGTGTTACAAAATATTTAATTTCTTTTGTATTGCTAATTGAACTGCGTCAGAAGTCAGTTTTTTTCTTGCTTTCGCCAAATTTTAAACATATATCAATACATTTCTGTACATACAAAGAGTATATACTAATTTGACTATAAAAAAAATAGACCTATTGATTCCGATAATCATTCATTAATATACAATATTGCAGATAATATTGTTGATATAAGCATTTATCAAAAGATAATTAAAAGCTAAAAAAAATAATCAAGAATATTAATCTCAATTTTCTTACAATTTCATAAATTTAGAGTCGCGCATGATTATTTTTAAATTATTTTTTATCAAATAATTTATAAATAATTTGTAAATTATGTTTCTTGAGTCGTATTTAATTCGAGACCAACACTTTCAGGATCTAACTTGGATTTCTTAAATTGTTTTGTTGAATTTTCTGAAAAGAAATTTAAAACATCTTTAGAATCATGCAATTTTCTATTGTATCAATCAATATGAATCAATTTATTATATTAAAGTACAATAGATATAAAAAAATTAATTACCTTGATAGAAATGTTTCACAGTACGTTTTCTGATTTCTTCAATACCTTCTTCCGTTTGTGCCCACTCAAGAACTAATCTTCGACCGTACAAGTGAGTACTTTGACATAGTGCCTTAAATGCTTTCTATAATAAAATATAGAATTTGCACTGTATATGTATACACACACGCGCGCGCGCGCGCACACACACACATACACAGAGTTAATATGAGACTAATGCAGTTCTCACTCCTTATATGTTTATAAATAATTTAATTTTTTTTCTTCAACTATTTTATTAAATTAAATTAAATAAGCACTAAAAATTTTTACCTTTGCATCTGATTTAGTATAATACTCGATAAAAGCGAATCCTCTATGCTTTTCAGTGCCGACCAGTTTTTTCGGTAGTCGTACGGCCTTCAACTCACCATATGATCTGTAAAATTATAATTAATTAATTATTACATCGTAATATCATACAAAGCGTTATACATATGTGTGTATGTGTGTGTGTGTGTTTGTGTATATGTGCGCGCATACTTGAACAATTCTGTCACTTCCTGGACAGTTGCTTGGAAGGGTATATTTCGTACTAAAATTTTAGTTCCAGTCTGTTCGGTGATCTTAGATTTCTTTCTTGCTGTTTTGACATCAGATCTAAAATGTGTCGCAGTTATTAAAAATTCTCGACTTTTCAATAAGATAGAAATAACTTACATTAGTGTTCTTTCAGATCGTTTCAATTCTAAACTCTTCCCATCAAGTACTGACATCTGCAATGTTTTTAACGCACGATCTGCGTCAAATTTTCTTTTGTATCTTATAAATCCGTATCCCATAGATAATTTTTTAGCAGGATTTTCTGGATCCATTTTAGTAGCTATTGTGATGTAATGAAGAGGACCACATTTGCCGAAGTACTATAAAAAATAAAATGTAAAATTGTATTACAAAAAAAAATTGATATCGGTTTTTAACTACTTACATCTTTCAATTGTTCTTCCGTAGTTGAGAAATTGATATTTTTTACAAAAAGTGTTGTATCTGATTCGGGCGGCTCGTTATCTTCTTCTTTATGCGTGTTATTCTTATTTTCATTAAATTCTTTTATCGTTACTTCATCTTTAACTTCTTTCAAATCTGCTGATTTTTTTGTAGTCACATTATTTTCAATTGTGTTATTTTTAGATGCAGGTGTGGTGAAACTGTTATCTGGTGCCCATTCTAGATACAATGGTAGATGCTTATATTTTGTATAAGCTAATGTGCGGAAAGCCTTGCGTGCTTCGAACGGCTCCAAAAATTCAACCAGCGCTGTTATGCCCGCCGGTGGCAATATAATACGCGCAAGTTCTCCATGTTTGGCAAACATTTCTTGTAGTTCATTTGGTTTTGTTTCAGCCGGCAAATTCTTCACCAAGATTATAGTACTTGATCTCTTCTTTGGTGTTTCATTAAAAGCATCCAAACATACGCCGTTTTCTTCCAAGAAAATTTTTGTATCTTGAACCAATTGCGTTTCTCCTAATGCTAATTTGACCGCAGCGCTCATTCCATTCGATTCATCTTCCAATAACTTCTCCTTCGTCGTGTTGTAACGACTGACAATAGCATTTGCCACAGCGTTCTGTCCAAGAAATAATGTATTCCAATTATGTGACGAACTCGCGGTTGCCTTAGTCTGTAATTCTTTCTTTTGTTTATAAGTTAAATTTTCAGTATCAATATTCTCTAAGGAAGTTTTTGTCTTTCCAGGAAGAATATGTAACATTCTACCATCTAATATAGAACCGTCCAACTCGCTGTAAGCTTTTACAGCATGTTCTGGCATCAGAAATGTTATTGTGCCAAATCCTTTTGGTTTCCTAGTCATTCTATCTATAGGTAAATCCACTTCAGACAGAGGACCATATTTTTCAAATAGTTTTCTGACGTCATCCTCTGTAGTTGTATACGTTAGATTTCTAATAAACATTCTTCCAGATTCTGCTATACTTTCTTCGTTTTTTAAAACTTCTTCTTGTTTCTTCCATTTAATATTAGTCTTATTATAAGAGTCCTTATTAGATTCAACTTCCTCTTTTCGCTCATATTTGGATACAAATATTTGTTTTCCTTCTACATAAATAAAAAATATACTTAAAAATGTGCAAACTATATATTGTATATTTTACTTTAAATTGCATTTAATTTTGTTTTACCTAGAAAACTCTTATTTTTCATAAGAGCTTTCTTCATGGCTTGCTCCGTTTTGAATCCCACATAAGCTATACCTTTAATTTTGGGAGGGATTCGTATAGATTTCGGTTTTATAGGACGAAAAAATTGTTTAATATGCTTTTTCATATGTACGTATGCAAGTCCTCGTATTTTTACAGTATATAATGTCAATGGACCATGCTTTGATATATCTTTTGTCAGAGATTTTATTCCACTCTGACGTAACCAATCAGGTTCGTCTTTTCCACTTGAGAGTGTCACTTTTTCTAAAATAATACATAAATATATTTTCTACAGTTATTTTCTTACTCTACAAGAGATACAAATTGCAATATTCAAATAAGATAAAATTTATTTTAAAAAAATAATATATTAATCAACAGAATTCCTAGAATATGAATTCTTCTGAACAGAATATGATATTTACAATAAACATTAAATTCAGTTTAAATTCTATAGTTTTAAATAGATTTTAAATAAATATAAAATAAGTTGAGTAAAAAAAAAATTATTTTATTATGCAAAATAATACTTTAAAAAAGTTGCTTAATAATACAATACATAATTCAAGAAAGAAGAAAAACAAGAAAAAAAGAAAAATTTCTTCCTTTTTCTCACCTGTCTTTAGACTAGTTTCTTTAGACTCATCATGTTCTTCATCTTCGGATTCACCACTAGATTTTTCAATTTCGTCTTTTGGCACACCAATATCATTTTTCCAAACTGTTTTTGCATCTTTACCAGTATGTGTTTCAAGAAATTCCATAAATAAAGGATCATCCTTATGCTAAATTTAACATAATAATTTTAACAATTTTCTTTTAAATAATAGAAACAAATTATTAATATATAATTTGTATTATATAATATATATAAATGATTTATTAACTAATGAAATGAAAAAAAATTTTAATGTACCTTTTCAAGTGCTTTTTTAAGTTCATCATTTTCTTTTTTGTCTGCCTTTTTCTTTTTCTTCTTTTTGTCACTTTTGTTCTTAACTTCCTCTGTATTTTCTGTCAAATCTATTGGTTTCACCTTTGACTCTGCATTAGATGCTTTATTAATATTATTATGAGAACTATCACTTGCATACTTGCTCCATGATTTTGGCTTTGAAGGATCACATAAAATATCATACAAAAAATATAATCATATATCAAAAATATTAAATTATTATAATAAAATAATTATAAATAATTATACTTACCTAAATTTGCACACTGCTCAACATATATTTTAGAAGTATCAATAAATGTTTGATCAAAATAGGATTGTGCCAATTTTGCTTGTTCCTCTGATTTGTAGCCAATAAATGCAAATCGCCGAAATTTACCATCCTTCGTGTACTTCAATTGGACATCAGTCACAATACCTTTTTGACTAAATAATTCTTTTAATTTGATGTCCGTAACCTAGGTAAAATAAAATATTTATATATATATGTTATAAAGTGTTAACTCAGTAAATGTATACTTGATCAGTATATATTTATATATATTATAGTATTTGCTAAAGTTAACACTTTGATATATACATATAATAAATAATAAATAAATAATAATTATTTACATATTATATATGAAATTAAATAAAAAAGATCACATTTCATCCACATACACTTTTTGGCAGATTTTTCACAATTAAACGAGACATTTTATCTCATTGATAACTATCCGTATTTAGAAATGAACGATTTTATTTATATTCAAAGATAGAAACTGTGTATTCAAATACATGTGCAATTTTAAGATATAGGATTACATGAGTATACATGAGAAAGTGAAAGTATCAATTCAAGCGTGAGAAAAAGGTTAGAACATAAGTTATGTTTCTTATGCACATTGCGATAAGCGATGAGCGACGAATGATATCCAATGAGAGCTTTGCTTTGCGTCGTCACGTGAGAAAAAGTAGAACTTTTAAGGACTCCGCACAATAAAAGGAACAGAGAATAGAGAATAAGAATTTTAACTTATCAAAAATCATGTATTATGGAATACACAGTTTTTGATAGGTTGAAATTCTTATTCTCTGTTCTCTGTTCCCTGTTCCTTTTATTGTGCGGAGTCTCTTAAGGCTTAAACACAATAGCACAAGCAATAGGCACAGGCAACGAGTTGTCCAATCAGAGCTCTCAAATATAATATCAAACTTATACATCAGAGCTCTGATTGAACGGTTTGGTATTCCATCTGTTGCCTGTGCCTATTGCCTATACTTATTGTGTTTAAGCTTTTATTAGATATCGCTCGTCGTTCATCGCTCATCACGTCTAGAGTCCTAGATTTATAAGAGAAGCGCGACTGGTGTTAAGTGTTCTGATTGATCATTACAATCACATGGTTAGCAGCTAGTTTCCACCGAAGGTTTAAATCGGATCGGAAATTCCATGTAAAAACCAACCAACTACAGTCGAGCATTCCTCTATCGTTCGACTGTAACAGAATACTCGACTGTAGTTGGTTGGTTCTTACATGGAAACTAGGCCACTATCAGAAAAAATTCGGAACGCACTTACATATGTATCCTTTCTGCACCAGTGTAGAAAGTTCAACTACAAAGAACAGACCTATGATTTGACGTTTTCACAGCAAATTGGTCGAAAAGCCGTGGACAGGAATCATAATCGCCGATTTCTGTATTTTCTGTATAAGCGAACATGGCGCGTGGTAGTAGTGCTGGTTTTGACAGGCACATCACGATCTTTTCACCGGAAGGCCGACTGTACCAAGTAGGTAAGGATCAAAAATATCTCGGATGCTAATAGTTATCATATAATCTTCAACGTCGCTCATATAGATCTATTAGTTTGCATTTTATATGATGACTTGGTGTGATCTGCATTTTGAAATTTATTGAAGTGCCTTTTTTCCTTGTATCTCGTAGAATATGCCTTTAAAGCTATCAATCAAGGTGGCCTGACGTCTGTAGCTGTCAAAGGGGTCGAGACAGCAGTTTTTGCAACACAGAAGAAAGTGCCTGTAAGGATCTCGTAAACAGGATCTTCCTACTAGAACTTTAAATTTAGTTTCTTCCAATTCTTTGTACATCTTATTAGTTTAACATTTTATTAGAAATGATAATTTAATATTTAGAAATATATGTTTCAGTTAATAATCACATTTATATCAAAGTAATATATTGTCTTCCTTTTTATAGGACAAATTACTTGATGCATCCAGTGTCACTCATGTATTTCAGCTGACCGACTATATCGGTTGTGTCATGACTGGTATGATAGGTAAGTTCGGATAATCTTTAGTTATGTCAAACTTAACGTTCTCTTTCTAATCGCAAATTGGATGCATTCTGTAGACACTCACCTAGTTTCCATCAAGGGTATAATCTGGATCAGAATAAGAACCAACTACAGTCGAATATTCCCCTGTTATAGTCGAACGAGGGGAATGCTCAACTGTAGTTGGTTGGTTCTTACATTCTGATCCGAATTAAACTCCCGATGGAAACTAAGCCACTGTTATATATTAAAGCTATAGTGCACTCTTACAGAAATGTCAAAGAGCTTCCACATGGACTGATATTTTTTTTATCAGACATTCTGTATTTTCTATTATACTTATCGGTTATGCAATATGTCTTACATAGAAAATATCAGTCAATGTGAAATTAATTATTTTAAGTATTAAAAGTACTGTTCAGTATTTTCAGTAGTAAATTGGTATCAAAATTGGTATTCAGTATTAGATTGTATTGGTATTCAGTATTAAATTTTTATAAAGGCATAAATTGATGTAAAAATGTAAATTTATATAAATATAGAAACAGATTAAATTGCAAACTCCTGAAAATATTTTATTGTATTTAGATAAAATATATAATTCGTAATTTGAATTATATTTGCATTTTACTTTTATACTCGGATATCACTGCACAATAGCTTTAATATACATTCAATTAAATTCATTGTAATTCCTATTCCACAGCCGACAGCAAGTCTCAAGTACAACGTGCGCGATACGAAGCAGCTCATTTTAAATATAAGTATGGCTACGAGATACCTGTGGACGCTTTGTGTCAGCGTATCGCAGACATTAGTCAAGTATATACGCAAAATGCAGAGATGCGACCTCTTGGATGTTCCATGATGCTTATTGCATATGACAAAGAGAAAGGTCCATGTATTTATAAGGCCGATCCAGCGGGATATTTTTGTGGGTATAGAGCTATCTCCGTTGGAGCAAAACAAACGGAAGCTAATTCCTATCTCGAGAAGAAATTAAAGAAAAAACAAAACTATGATTACGACGAGACTATACAACTAGCCATTACTTGTCTGTCTACAGTCTTGTCTGTAGACTTTAAACCAACTGAAATTGAAGTGGGAGTTGTATCAAAGGACAATCCCAAATTCCGGTAATTTATGAGATAATTTTATTAGATATTAATATTTTATATGTAGATATCAAAATTTTATTTTCCATTGCTTTTTTTTATTAACAATTTTTCTGTTACAGTATACTGACCGAGCAAGAGATTGATAAACATTTAACCGCAATTGCCGAAAAGGATTGATAATGTTGTATACAATTCATAAGAAATAAATATGTCCTGCCTGATACACTTTTTTACTTAATATTTAATGAACAAGATTAAAGATTTGTGTAGAAAAAGGTTTATCGCGTTAATAAACGCTGCTGTGGTCATATCAAAAAAATTTATTTCCTTTATTATATTATTAGTCTTAGCAATATTAAATTCATAAAATTAAAATGATTCTTAGATTATTACTTTCCTGCTGCAGTTGCCAGTGGATTTCTCAGAACCAAGATGACAGAATCTCCACGTAGAAACATTTTTGGAATAAATCTGTCTTTATTTACTGGTTTTGCCTATTTGTAAATGATTAAGAACATGAATATTATTAATAATTTACATAATCTATATTTACTTTATTTTAATTTTTTGTTAGACTTAGAATATCTTAAATGTATTAGAATATTTATTACATCTTGAAATATCAGTTAATTATATCCTTTTCCTTCTAAATTCAAAACTTACTCAACAATAGATTCAATTTTTATATATATATATATATATGATGTATCAAATAATTCAGCAATAAATATCAGGTAATTTGATACAAATTTATACCAATGAAAATAAATCTAATTAAATAAGAGAAATTCTTATGTTTGATCCCCTGGTAGCAAGCTACGTCATTTATCATTTTGTCGTCAGCTTGCTACCAGAGTCAAAGCCGACTTTAGTGTTTAAATATTTCTATGTAAATTTATATACATAAAGATTTTGCTGAATGCATTTTAAGAAAAAGATTTTGGTGCTGTTTACAGAATCAGATATGCGATCATAGAGAAATACTGATTTATTTCGACCAAATATTTCTCTTATTTATTAAATAATTTGGATAATCACCGACAATCCAAAATTTAAAATAAATTTTAGAATTATTTAATAATAAAATACAATTTGAGTAATTTGCTAGAAATACATGTTTATACATACCTTCTTCTTGCCTTTTCCCGTACGTGGAAGTTCTGTCCACATCTCTTTTACATTTTCTAAAACCATATTACAATGTCTATCAAAAGCCTTTACTCGTCCTAATAACTTTTTGTTGTTTCTGCAGTTTATTAATACTTGGGTATTATTCTTCACTGATTGTGTTAAAACTGAGAGAGGTCCTGTGTTAAATTCCTCCTCTTCTCTTTTTGCTAATTCCTCTGGCGTCATCTCAGATTTTGGTTTGGTTAGAGACGACCTGATACACAAAAAATATATCAATAATATATTACATGAATATAATATATAATACTAAAAATGTTTAGTCAACTTTTTATACGTTGATAACTAATAATGCAAATAAATAAAGTAATACTATAATTGAGGTTATACTTGACATAAACAGTGATAGATTAACATTATATATTGAAATATCAATGAAATTACACAAGAAATTATAAAGCAAGTACTTAACTTACATTTTGTGATATTTTTGTTAAACAGCACTGAATATTATCAATTCTTTTACGATAAAAAGATACTAATTCCTTCTATTTTTCGAAACGATCGCATTTATCTACTGCACACTGGACGCGATGAGCGATGAACGAAACGTCCAATGAAAATTCTGCTATGCATCATCACGTGAGAAAAAGCAGAGTTTTCATTGGATATCACTCTTCGCGTCCAATATGCAGTAAGCATTATGGCGGTTGTCTGCTGCATTGGACAATGGTCAAAGCGCCGGTTGTATGTTACAGATTACGGCCAGTATAAATGATCCTTTAACAGATAGCAGTCTAATAATATATAGACGTCTGTGATTTAGCTCTGCTCATGTCGTCGCCAATTGTTACTGCATTTCGTCGGTATGACAGGTTTTCTAAAATTTTCTAATCTGAAGGTTAATTTTTTTAATATCTTTCTTTTGTTTAACGAAGTACATTGATGCTTTTTTTCTCAAATCATTGTTTTTACGCCCATGCAATGGAATGAATGTATTTTTATCATTTTTATCAAAATGAAGGACGAAAGAGTTAAAATAAACAATTATGTAAAAACATTGTTTATATCCTCGTATAAATCATATTTGATAAAATTCCAATTAACTATAATATCTATATTATTTTTATTAATGTAAATAAAAAAATTATGTATTCTTAGAATTTTTAATTAATTTTGTAACTATTTGGTATGATAGAAACAGATTAGATAACATTAATTATATGTTATACTCAAACACTATCGTTGAACAAATTTATTTTAGTTAACCATTGTCAAAGTTTATTGATTTAACCGGGAGAGAACTCACAATAAAATTTTTCTAACTATATATAACTCGGCCATCCTTATCTTTTTTTGTCAAATAGTAAAAAAGTTACATATCCTCTGCTCTTTCATGAACTTTGATTCAAATTTTATTTATCTCGACTGACGTAAGATTATACCTACATGTTGATGTATTCGTTATCTATACAGAAATGTGATTCATGTAAACACGAAAGAAGAACAATATTCAATAATTATCAAGCATAACAGAATTTCTGTCACGGAATTTCAGTTATTCACTGAACATTTATATAAAAATGTCGGTGAAAGGTAAGTGCAGTCATTATTATACTATAAACATTTAATATCATTGTCATTTTTAATGTGAGATATATTGATAATTTTTTTATCTTCTAAAAAATAGGTACATTCTATATCTATTAATAATAAAATTTTATCCATTAATATAATCCAATTTTTTTTAAATAACATGAAATGGAAATTATATTATGATAATATTCTGTATTATAAATTTTCATATGGCTTAAAATGTACAGAGAAAAGATTATCTAATCAAATACGCAAAATGATAAAGTATCTAATCTGTTATATAATATTGCAGCTTTAGTATAAACTGATATATGAATACAATATATTTCTTACAAGTTTTTTTTCATAATATCCTAAAATTTAGGATATTTCTGATATTATTTTGATAATGAAGAAATATCCTTTAGAACTTAAAGAATGGTCTAATTCTATGAATTTGTGATAGATGACGAATCATTAGAAAGAAGCAAGAATGGAACAAAAGATGTATCAAAAAATAACGCCACATCATCAGCATTTGATCCAATTGGTTAGATATAAATAATAATATTTTTCAATATCTAATAATAATTTTTTTATTAAGATTTCTTTTGCAGAGCATCAACATATAAGATATAATCCATTAAGAGGAGAATGGGTATTAGTGTCACCACATCGTATGAAGCGACCATGGGGAGGTCAAATAGAACATAATATAGATGAGGAGCTTTCAGATTATGATCCCAATAATCCCCTTTGCCCAGGAAACGTTAGAGCTAGTGGAGAAGTTAGATTTGATATATTTTGTCTGTAATATACTATAATATCTGTGAGTTTTAATGGTTTCCCAACGTTTTACCATAGAAAACGAATATTTTATTCTCTTTTATATATGGGTTCCAAATGCAATAGATAATTTATTTTCCATGATAAAATGTTGAAATATCTATTAAAATGTCTCACCTTGTACAAATAATGTTTTGCTGTTTTAATTCATATCATTAAAATATTAAAATTCTTAACTTGATAAAAAAAAGAATACTTTTTTATATTTTAATATTAGATCGCTTGCATTTTTATTTATATTGATATTTTATTATTCTTTATTTACAGAGATTTCTTGACAACAAAATTTTTAATTTTAAATATTTGATATAATACTAGAAGTTCCATAATAAAGCAATTTATTTGATCAAATCCATTTGCATTATTAATGTATGAATAATTAATTTTTTTAATTACTTGCTCTTTGCCCTTCTTTTATACCACATTGTTTTATATGTATAGAGCTTTACTATTTATTAATTTTAATTTTTTTATATATAATATGTTTTGTTCAATTGCTATTAATTCATTGAAGAGATTGATGTTCCGTACTACAGGTAACTCCAATGTACCAAAATACGTTCTCGTTCGTGAATGACTTTCCCGCTTTACTAGAATCGGTACCAAATCCACCGAAATCCGATGATGAATTGTTCCAAATGGGATCTGCTAAAGGTACCTGCAAAGTGATGTGCTTTCATCCAAAGTCAAATGTAACATTAGCATTGATGAAGATTCATGAAATCAAGGAAGTAATCAAACAGTGAGTAACATTGTACAAAAAATGTGCATTCAGAGAGATGCTATTAGTGTGCGCATTATTTGTGTTGTTTTATCTTTCTCTTTTCGTCTAATGTAAAATAAGAATAAAATAATATAAATAGCGTTAATAGCGTATTCCCGAACACTCTATGTACTCGAATAGTCATTACTTTTGAAAAATAAACATTGTATAATGCAACAGGTGGATCTACGAGATGTTGGACTTGGGTAAAAAATGGATCTGGGTCCAAATATTTGAAAATAGAGGCGCTTTGATGGGCTGTAGCAATGCACATCCTCACTGTCAGATATGGTCCAGTTCGTTTTTACCGAATGAAATTAGAATAAAAGATGGATATCTCAAAGATTTTTATATACGTAACAAGAAACCTCTTCTTATTGATTACGTGCAGAAAGAAATTTTAAAAAAAGTTGGTTATTATACATAAATAATGTCAATTTTGATATAATATAGATATTACTAATATTGATATAATGTGAAAAAGTTCAAAAGTAAACGAGATTTATCTTTATCATCTAGGATTATTTTTTTATTCAACTTTAATTAAACTTAAATAAATTTACAGGATCGCATTGTAATAGAAAACCGTGATTGGATAGTTGTAGTGCCATTCTGGGCAGTTTGGCCATACGAAACTATGATATTACCCAAAAAGCAAGTAACTAGAATGCAAGAATTATCAGACAGCCAACAAGAATCTCTAGCTGTCATCATGAAGAGATTGTGTACAAAGTATGATAATCTCTTTCACTGTTCTTTTCCATATTCAATGGGATGGCACGGTAAAGAATAACAATCATCAGATATTTTATTTATTATTTACATATTATTTTAATCCAACATAATTTAAAACTACTGATTCATTAATATATAATTAAAGGTGCTCCAATGGGTCCATATCAGAACCATGATTATCCATATTGGACTTTTCATGGACTATACTTACCACCTTTATTACGTTCTTCTACTATAAAGAAGCACATGGTTGGTTATGAGCTTTTAGCTCAAGTACAAAGAGATCTAACACCAGAACAGGCAGCAGAAAAATTAAGAAACTTATCAGATTCTCATTATAAACATCCAGAAACTAGTCTAACTGTAGAGGAAATAGAAAAATATTCGAATTAAATATATATATATAAAAGAAATACAATATATTTTCGATAACCATATATACAAAAATCTATAAATGTAATAAATTTTTATATTATCTTGATGATTTTACATTGTCTTGATGATAATATTCAATAAAAGATATATTAAAAGTATGTTATTATATCACACATACATGTGTGATACAATTTTCATTTAATAATAATATATTAATATTTAGGAAACTTTTGATCAATCTTATTACTCCAAGCATGGATACCTCCAATTATATCTCTTATTTTTAAAGTATCTTCGATAAATATCTTTTTCAAATATTGAACAGCCTTTTGTGAATCATTTCCACGTCTACACATAAGATATACTGCAAGAGTAAATACAGTCTAAGATTAATTCTATCAATCGCATAAAAAATAATTTAACAAAAAATTATAATACGGAGATATAAAATATATCTTACAATCCACTGAATGATGCTCTTTTTGCATCTTCTTTATGTTGTCTTTTATTAGCTTTAAATTGTGATCCTTGCTAAGCTGTGCGAAAGGAATATTAATGGAATCCTGTAAGTGACAGATTCGATATTCTTCAGATGAACGTACATCAATCATTATGCGAGATTTTGATTCCGTTTTTATGATCTTATTATATTCTTCAACTGATATTCTTTCTTCTTTCTTTAATAAATTTAAATTGGGATCTTTATCATTAGCTTTTGCACCACAAAATTTTTCATAGTCTATTAACTCGTGTATAATGCGATGCTCCCCGCAAACTGCACAGTTTATATTTTTTGGACGTAAGCGTACATTATGGAATTTAGTTTCTGTGCCATCAAATAATAAAAGCCGTCCTGAAGTTACGTCAGACATATTAAGTATTATTTTTAATGTCTCCAGTGCTTGCAACACACCAATTGTTCCTACAACTAATATTCATCATGATAAAAAATACATTAATGAAAGTACTTCCCATCACTTGTAAAACGCTACGAATTAATTCCAACACCTAATAATATTTAATTGTAAATTGTGAAACATATGTATATAGAACTTAGTAAAAAATAGAAAAATTTACCTGCACCAAAAATACCACCTTCTCCACAGCTTGTTACAGTTTCTGGTGGTGGTGGTTCAGGGAATATACATCTATAGCAAGGACCATTGTAATTAAATACTGATAAACTCCCTTCAAACCTCAATGCTGATCCAGAAACTAATGGTTTACCACTCAAAACACATGCGTCATTCAACAAATAACGCGTAGCTACATTATCTGTAGCATCTATTACAATATCATAATTTTTT